CAGAGATTTAAACTGCATGCCACAGACCTCCCAGGAATTTTCATCCATCTAGAATTTCATATCAGGGAAGATATCATAAAAGGAAATTGCCAAAATCATACGTAGAGGGAAGTGAAAGCTTAAAGGACATATTGAGAACGCATATCCTCATCAAGCTTAACCATCTGTATTTAACCAGTGTTACTGTTGCAAATTAGTTTGTGCCTTATCAGCTTGACCGCAAAGGTTAATTAAACTTCTCTACAAACAATTTGTAGAGACTGCAAGTTTGGTACAAGTAATGCTGTTATACACAAGAAAAGACAAATAGGTCAGGTCACAGTGAACCTATTAGAAGTGTGCCGAGAAAACTGGGAGTAAGTTCCACTTGCATAAAATTTCCCCATGTTAGAGAAGCTATATGTTTAAAGTCAGGCTTGGCATCACTCACTATTATTGTAACAAGCCTCAGGATCCCCTCGTGCCTGTCTTAAAAGAAACACAGCTGATGTTGAGAGTCTGCCTGAAAATCTCAACTTTCCTTTCAATGCAGTGATAGCTGGATAAAGCTCTGAAGAGCATGGAGTTGCCAACAAAATAAGCAGTGCTGAGTAGGCAGAAGACCTCAGATGTCTGCTTGTCGCTATTGCTGCATAAGGGAGATAGCATAAATTTCAAATGTGCCTTACTGTATTTTATTTCCTAAAAACATTTGCCTTGCCTCTTGAATGGATCACATCAAAGCACAATTCTGAAAAACTGCTTTCCTAGAGAAAACTCACATGGAGGTCATAAATCAGAAAAGCATATACAAAACAGACTAGCCAGAGCTTATAGCTTTAAAGACATCCTATAATGAGGAACAGAGCAAGTGATACAGAAGAAAATGAGATGTTTAGCTGTGTGCATCAACTTTGATGAAGAGAAAAAGAGAAGAAACCCCCCAAACCCAACAACCTCTTCCAATATACTTTGGTGAGAAAAAAAAAAAAATCTATCTCTGCTCAAGATCTGGTTTAACTGTGTACAAATAGGTTATGGAAGCTGAGTACCCATGGGAGGGGAATGTCATGCGAGCACTGCTGCACCCTCTTAGCTCTACACTATCTTCAGAATCTGAAACACACCAGGAAACCAAATCATGCATGAAAGGACATGGGGGAAATTATTGCTTCCTCCTCTGTCCTTCAACATCCTCTTTGTCCCTGGAGCTACTGTGGAGGAGGAGGGGGGCAGGTAATTAAAAGTGTGAAGTCTGTTTCAAGGATTTCTCCTCCAAACTTATCTCAACCCTTCTGTTGCAAGAGTAAAGAGTTCCATCTTTGTCATTTGTTTTTTTTTTAATAGTCTTTTGGAAGACCAAATCTGGTACTTTCAATGGCATGACCAATTTAATCACTGTCCACTATTTTGCTTGCTTTAGCTTCCAGTTTGCATTATTCTCTTTACATTGTTTCCCCACTTCAGATTCAAACCTTTTATGTGTATAGAAAGAAATGTCTTAAAACACCTTTAAATGTTTGGCTAAATGTATATGTGTGAGTGCATTAATGCACAAATTTGTTTTTCTCTCCATATAAACAGAGATTTTACACAATGAACTGTCTCAGTCTCTTCTTATATAGTAAAGCTATGAACATGATGTTTTGCTATGACAAGGAATGATCTACATTTATAATATAGGAAGATACTCAAAAATAACTGCCTAAGACTTCATTATGCTTCAGTAGTTTCTGTCCATGCAGGATCAGCTAGTCAAGAGTTTTCTCATTTCATGTGCAGTGAGAAAATACCTACATGAGGTAAAACATTTCTTTTTCTTTCTGTACAATGATTTAAAATCAGAAACTTCCCTCATGTCTTCACAGGAATGACATCTGCATCCGTTGACAGCAGTTGGGGATTTGGCTTTTTTGTTTTTTTTTTTTTTTTAATTCTTTCTTAACCCATGTTGTAACCAGGAGTGTTTGAATCTGTCTTTTGGTTCTGCATAGGTTTTGTCTGTTGAAGTGCTTTTGTTCATGGACCCTGTCAGTGAAATAAGCTAAATGAACCTAAACTCTTCCACTTCCAAATTATCTGAAATCCAGATCTGACTTCTTTTATGGCTTGAGCCCTTTCTTATCTTCTTGCAGCCAGTGTCTGGACAGTTGGCTCTCTGATGAGACACTGCAGCAGACATTCACAGTGCTTGCTATAGATCTTCTGCTTTATCATCGGGTTTCCATATAATCTCTATAATCCCTATAGTGCTTGTTTAGTGATTATACAGTCATCTACATAAACTCCTAATTCTAATTCTCTTCATTGTGTATAGAATAAACCTGAAACAAGTAGCCTATTCAACTGTATGCATATAAGAAGATTTAAACAAATTAATACACAATACCAGTGTTAATTTTAAAGATTTGCACTTTCTGGAAAATATATTCAAAGATGATGTCCACACATCAGGAAGCTTCCTTCTAGTCAAGGGAAAGTTACAGAAGGCATTAATCTTTATTGCTCACTCTGGTGGACCCTGTACTAGATTTAGGCACATCAGACCATTTCAGTGGACTATCATAGAACTAGTTACCCATGAATAATGTTGGATAAATGATGATGTTATCATGTTAAGTTAAATGAATGCATTTTTAAGGTATAAACCATCTATTTTTGGACAGAGTCTTGGGTGACATGGTCCAGTGTGAGACATCCCTGATCATGGCAGGGGGTTGGAACTAGATGATCTTAAGGTCCTTTCCAACTCTAGCCACTCTATGATTCTATGATTCTATTTTTCCACTGGGAATCATAATGCACTATTTTTTACCATTTCAAAAGGCCTAGTGAAAATTTGGAGCAATAGTATATGGTATTAGTATGCTATCATTTTAACCCAAACTGCTGTGTAAATACAAAATACTAAAGGCAAAATCACTCAAAGGTCATGAACTGAGCTAAACTGAAAAATATTACTGAAAATACCATTGAAGCATTTTTGGCCTGAGAAGCAAAATAAGGGAAATGTTTTGCAAGACCATGTTGAAGAAAATGACATTTTTAATCAAGAAAAAAATGTTTCAGCAAGGAAAAGTTACCACTTTTGAGCTACATTTTGTGCTTTAATTTTTGATTATGCTTTATGCTATGGGAAAATATCAATACAAAATACATAGACTACATGTATTTTTGTATGCTTAAATGTGAGGGCATTTAAAGAAATTGAAACTATAATACTGTAACAAACTGGAAACTGGGAAAAAAAGAACAACTTTTTTCCCCTTTTACCACATCCAAGAATTCATTTTAAACCAACCTGGATGTTGGGTCTCTTGGTTTAGTTTTCCCGTTGAAATCCTAGCAGCTAAGCTTGTCAGCAGTGTTGCTTATAAACTTTCATGATTCAGAAAGTGTTGACAAAAGACAAATTGCTAAAAGAGGGGCTGAAATGAAAATGAAAACTGAGAGATGAAAATACAAGTTTCATTTATTTAAAACTGTGTTTGCCCAGACAGCTGTGTTAGTGATCTGATTTTATGACAAGCAAACAGTGCTTATTAAAAAGGGATTTATTAAGATATGTGACAGCTTACCTTCTGCTTCCCTGCAATTGTCAACACTGCTAAAGCCTAATATTGTATAGACTTTATTATACTCTTAACTGGCACTTGTCTGATCTTTGCTATTCACGTAATCTGATAAGGTACCATTGAGGCATGTAATGTTATAAATGCTCTATATTTTTATGCTTGTAATCTTGTGCCATGATCAAATAGACTCTAAAACTTACTTATTAGTTCCAAACAAATTTCCTATGTTTGCTGTAATGAAACAGCCTCTGTTTTCCCACTGGAAACAAAACAAAAAGCTTCTTACACAGTTTTCAGGGTTCGAAGAGCCCCAGTGCAAATGCTATTTTTCCTACATGATTAAGGTCTTCATAACTTTCTCTTTAACATCAATCTATTGCTTAGATTTTGTCTGGCCTGTTCTCCACTCCAAACACACACACACCCCCCATACAGAGTGGCCTAACCTTTCAGGTAAGCTACACTACCATAAATTCAGTCAAATCAACATCCCCTTCATGTTTTTGACTGACATCTTCAAAGTACCTCTGATCATACTGAAATTTAACCTGTTAAGATTTGTTCAATTCCATGCATCTGTAAGACTAGGACTTTCACACGTGGAATTAATCTGCTCATTTCACACAGCCTTAGTGTAGCAGCTGTTACAGCAGATTTTGGGGTTATTTTCTTTTAGTCCAAAAGAAAATAATTACTTGCTATTGAGCTCAATAGAAAACAAGATCCAGCCTCTTAGATAAAGAAAAAGAGAGATTCTTTGGATAAAATTATTTGACTCCTCTAAGATTAGGCTTTTGCTGTTTTACCTTCCGCATCTCTTCGTGGTCCTGCTCCATAGTGGTGCTATGACAGCTCCAGCACGAATTGAGGCTGGTTTGAGGTAAGGGGCAATTTACCCTTTGTGTTAATGATTTCATTTAAGTATTTGGAAAAATAATTTGGAATTAAATGGGTAATATTGTCATGAGGAATAAGCACCTCTTTAGCTAACTAATCTGTAACTGCTAAGCCATTGATATCACTGGCTTTCAAAGTTTGAAATGGCTCCCATGACAACTTGCATTTATCTGTAAACTGGATTGGTTTGAATATGGGGAAGAAAAGCTCTAAACATATAAAATCAATGACTCCTGGCCATTCCAGTGGTGTAACATTTTTGTCAGGAGCCTGTTTGTATCAGATTTTTAAGCACCCTGACAAAAAAAAAAAAAGTATGATTTATGGTACCTTAAGCATGAGAGCTGTCACGTAAGAAGCCACTATGAAGCAAACAATATGCTGTGCATTTTAACTACTTAGGCTATGGAGAAGGGTTCCCTGGGGGAAAAAAATTCAACTTCTCAGACCTACAGTAGATCACGTTTCCTTCACTTCTGTTTTCTGGGACATGTCTGATGGATTTTGCTATAACAGCTGACCATTGTCCCTACTCTTATTCATCTCCAGCCCTGCGTACTCTGAAGTCATCCCTGCAGTAGAAGTCAAGGATTTTTTCCTGGCAGAACTGTCCCACAGTGATATCCATATTCCTCTTCGCTGATGCTACTCGAAGTCTTTTCAATCCCTTTTATATCAATAGGATTTCCAACCTTAACCCATTGCTGCAAGGGTCCTGGACTTGAATGTACAGCCACTGAATGTTGCTGTGCTCCCTCATTGGCAGCACAAACATGATCTTAAAAATTAAGGAGATGCCTGCTAGGGAAATTTTTCTATATAGGGACATTCACTCCTAAGAGAAACCCGATACTTACAGTTAAGTAACTTATCCCTCTTACTGGTTCCTTACCAATCCCTATGTAAGTGTAGGACGTGGGATAAGAGGGGTATATCTCAGAGAGGATTAGGGTAGGTAGGATAGGGAAGGGACTCAAAGTTGTACAGCAGAACTTATTAAACCTCCACCTCCATGACCAGTTTTAAGAACTGTTTAGATCTAAACTGAGCAACCCAGACCATTTCTTTGGAGATACCTCTGGCTCTGCTTCATCCAGTCTGTCAAAGCAGCTGTTCAGAATAGACTTGAACAAGTTTGGTTTTAAATAGGCAACAGTGTCCCAACAAAAGAAATTTTCTGGTCTAAGTACATTATACAAAAGTCCAATGAGTGTTTCATTACTGTGGAAATGTTATCTAACTATTCCCTTTTATTTACCTATGACTCCTCCCCACAAAGGGAAGTGATTAACATTCATCAATGCACATTTAGCTTTACATAACAGTTTGGTGATCATGTAAAACTACAGGAATATTTTCTTAATCAGGATAGTTTTAATCTAAGAAACAAAGTCAAAGAAGTGTTCTTCTGAAACTGTAGCTGAAAAAAAACACAATCCTACCATGTAAAGATAGTGGGTTAATGATACTGTTTTAGAAGTCAAACAGTTTAACAGTACCCTATACTGTTATTTCCCAGAGTTAATAGGAAAACAATACATGAAGAATGGTTCTATTTTTCTGGGTCTTGTAATATTGAATGTCCCTGCTATTTCATGTAAAGTCTGGTTTTGAAAGGTTGCTAAACAGGGGCCAGAAGCAGGATAAAAATCCAGCACCTGAATTTAATGGGTGGGTCCTGTATTTTAGAAAAAGATTAGACTTCATTGAAGGACATTTCATAGAGTAGGATGAAATATAGTGTGACGATACTCAGGGTCCTGATACACCAGCAAAGTAACCTGGTAAGTGTAAGCTTGCTGTGGTGAATGGATGAAAAGAGAGAGCTGGGAGGGAAATTCACAATGAAAAGTTTTTCATGGGATACAAAGAAGCTGGATGAAGTGATGCAAGTAAAGGTGGAGACCCCTGACATTTTGCAAAAATAAATACTCTTGGTAATTCATTTTAGCTATGTTGTAGGAAGTTCCTACATTTTTACAGCTTTTACCACTGTTAACCAGCAGTGGATATTAAGTACAGATGTAGAGGCATAAGACCTTTTTCATACTAACTGGTGACTGTTGCTGAGTTGCTTCTGCTGAAGGAGGTCCATTGATTTCCTGTAGCCCCTGCACAGGGCTTCCCTTCTGGAACCCTGCATTATGTGTAGCTACAGCCCTATTTTGGAGTGCTTTTCTTTTGTGTCAGCTCATCACCAGAAGCAGTGAAATGAAGATGACAGATGGGATCCAAACCCATCTGAAATCAGTGAGGATCTTTTGTTTGACTTCTCTGCCCTTGAGATCTGACGATTCACTCAGGATGCTGAAACTATCCCCAGATGCTTAAATAAGGGCTAAGAGATGGAATCAGTGACTGCCTTCAGAAATCTCAGTAATTCATAAACTTTAGAAAGTAATATTTAATTTGAAATTTGCTCACAGCATAACTGAACTCTTCTTCTTTTCCAAAGTTATGGAAAATTTCCTTGATCATGGAGTTACTACCATTTTTATGCTGTCTTTCCAATCTTCTTCTCAGGATTTCTTGTGTCTATTACTGAATGATTGAATGTAAATGCAGGTCAGACTGTGAGAGTTGTGGACAAGAGGGTTTAGAAGGCATTTAGGTCCTCCAAGGACCACACAGAAGGAGTTGTGAAGCATCTGGACAATAAATTGCAGGATGAAGAATGGAAGGTCAAACCTGGTGCCTGTTGCTGATGGGATCTCTCTCCATATCAGACCACAGCCACTTGATGCATTACAGGTAGAGAGACTAAAAAACATTTTGTGCTCATTAAATCAAGGCTGGAACCCTGCTAAGTATCTATAATGATTACTCACAGCAAATTCTAGTTTTAATGGATGCCAAAAGCTTGCCTGCCAATAAAATATGAGGGCCCTAAATACACTCAGTCTGATGTGGACACTTAACTGAGGTACTTCACTTAAATTAGGAACTGAGTCAGTGGAGAGTTGTATTTCTGGTTGGCTGAACTGCCTTGGTGGAGTACTGACTTGGTGGGTTTTAACTCACTAATGCATTTAAACAGATGAAATTAGGTCATACAGCCCAAGGAGATATTTAGGGTATTCAGGGACAGACCTATTCTATGTATATTAAAATTCAAAGAGAATCACAGGAACCAAAATGTGATTAACCTGACAGTTGGATAATGATGTGAAGTCCCATTGAACTAGGGGAGCAGCCCTAAGGTCTATAACTGTCCTGACAGCTCAGCTGCTAGGAGTTTCTTTCATGCCTAGTGTGAGGTGTCCCACCATGGCAGGGGGGTTGGAACTAGATGATTTTAAGATCCTTTCCAACCCAAACTTTTCTATGATTCTGTGATGGCTCTTGTTTCACAGGGTTATGATACAGCATGCTTTTCCACCATCTGCAGTATAGGATGCAGCCATGGTTAGCTGAGCAGGAAATTTCAGGCTTACATATATTCATTCAGCACACTTCTCCCTTCCCATTGCTACAACTTTCTTCTCAGATGCTGTAAATACTACAGCTCTGAACGCAAGTGTTAAATTTTCAACAAATGATATATCAGGAGGAAGACTAAACAACCTGGAAAGTTTCAGTTTACCTGGAATTGTTTGGAGTAAATTGCTAAGACCTTTTTTTTCTAAAGGTGTGACCAGACTCTACTAATCCCAACTGCCTATAACAGGAAAAGTTTTGATTTCCCTCTCTGTGTACAAACCATTAATCCAGAAAACAATACCTCAGTTCTTAATATCTTTCTCTCCTCTCAAGTTGCCTGTTACCATTTACTCTTCATTAACTCTTCCAGCTCTACAAATATAGTAATCTTGGGGCTGTAACACCGCTGCTGTGCACATGGGCTGTGAGGCCATGTGCTGTTATTACAATTGCATCACAAGCACATGTCATAGGAAAGAATGAGTAGATGAATGAAGATAAGCAGTAGGAAAGGTAATTCAAAAGGAGTTTAGCCTCTGCAATGCAAAGCCACATCCTTCTATTTTCTTTTTTAGAAGAGCTGTGAAATAGGGAAAGGTCCCATATGAAAAATCGAAATGCAGAATTTGACCACCTTGAAGTTTCACCGGTTTTGGTTCTGGGATCTGGTTTGAAAAATACCTGAAGTCTTTCTGGTTTGCTTGAGGGAGAGAACAGGTTCTAGCCTTAGGCATAAGAAACAGTGTGTGTACACATAGGGCCTCTGTTTATTTAGTAACTGAAGATTGTGTTTAGTGAAAGTTATTCTAATTACTCTCACTTAGAACTTCACGAGTTTTAAATCTTCTCCTTCACATTCTGAGAGAGAAATCCCAGCTGATAAAAAGAAAGATTATCTATCTCATTTTGGCTTCCTTATTCTACTGCAAAAATTGAAGTGACCAAAACAACAGCAGGAATGGCCACTGGAGAACAGCAATTGGATGGGCTGGGGCTATGGTGGGTCCTACAACACATATTGGTAACAATGCATGAAATGCATTGGAAAGTGCACTGCATCCTGACGAGCCTTTCACTTACAGCGTAGTTTTGAACATCCTTGAACTTGCTATTTACACCAAAGACAGGCAGGTTCCAACCAGGGCAGGGCTTTCATTCAAGAAGCAAATTTTAACATCTGTTTCAATTAAGGCCTAAGTCTTGTTCAACTGCAGACCAAATTGCTGATGTTTAAAGCTTTTTTTTTCCCTCCATTTATATTTCAGTGACTATGCTCTTTTTGCTCTGGTTTTAATTTGAGAAGAATGCTACAGACCAATAGCAACTCTGTATATTAGCTTTGCTGATGCTAATCTTGGCAATGAACACAGGGAGACTGGAAAATGATCTTCTGGAATTTCCTCAATACCTTTGGCATTAGACACAATGGAGAGAACGTGACTTTGACGTAATAAATTCATTGGAATATTTGTTTAAGACCAACCCTCCATGACTCGAACATACTTCAATTGAAACGGCATGGGCTAGAAGCTCAGTAATTAACTTTTTAAAGGAAAAATGTCCTTTCTTCCAGAAATATATGCAGCTTTGGGACCTATTAAGGCAAATGGATGATAAACTAAGGGGTTTTCATTATTAGGACAGACATGGTCCATGAAACACTCGATACTTCTGATATGGTATCAGCAAAAACATAATCAACTTCCTGCTACTGTGTGTTCTGAAGTCACAGAACTGAATGCTGTGACCCTTTAAGAACCAAATGCTTCTGTAAATGTAATATGATTGATTTTTTTATTTTGGGGGTTTTTTAATGTCATAAAGCTACCTCCTCCTATTACCTTCTGCTTCTCGCAATAAGCAGCAAAAGAGAAGGAGCTACAACTCCAGTTTCAAGAGGCCTGCATAAAGAATATTCAATTAGCGACTGGTCCAAGAACAGACTAAATGATGACTAAAATTGAATGGTAACCAGTTTTCAGTTTCTTTCCTGAAAATGGCTAGGAGCAGTGGAATTTTCCCAAATCAGAACAAAAACCACACGATGTGTGTGAGCATGTGTGTGAGTCTTGTGATACTGGATGTCCGAGCATAGCAAATGGGGCAAGAGGAAGTAAATTCTGGCCATACAAAAGCCTGTTTCTGACTATAAACTCAACTAAGGTCAAATCAAATTTATTTGGAGGGCAGTGAATCAGTGATTCAGAGATGAGCTGCAGGCAGAAGAACCTGTATGTGCTGCAGTGGAGATGCACACCCTCTAGCTCCCCAGGAAGCCAGACTTTGATGACCCATGCAGACCAGGGTTACACAAGGCCCACAGCATCCCACCACACATAGGCCTTCTCAGCTGGAACAGGGACTTTCTCTCTTTCCACTCCTCCTACCCCTTCCTTTTCATGTTGCCT